GATGATTATATTCCTTGGTGATTTTCTTTTGGGGTCTCTTCTGTTTGGAGTTCTTTGGACTTCCTGAATGGATATGTTCTCATCTTTCATCATATCAGGGAATTTCTCTTCCAACAAATCTTGGACAATTTTCCAGTGGCTTTATTATTCTCTTCCTATTCTGGAATTCCAATGACACGTAGGTTATTCCTTTTGATGGTATCTCACATGAACCTTAGGCTTTCTTCATTTTGTTTTGATCTCTTTTTCTGATTGATCTCTTTCCAAAGAAGTATTCACGTATGTGTCTTCATTCTCATTAATTCTGTCTTTGATTACATCAGTTCTACTCCTTTGCTCTTTTAATTTGTTACCTATTTTTGACAATTTAGTATTAATCTTCTGGATTTCTATCTGTAGATTTAGAATCATTTCTAATTTTTCATTTATCATTTTGTTCTTGTATTTTCTTCCAAAGTTCTAGGGTTTTGTCTGTGTTTTCCTAGATCTGTCTCTCAATCCTTTGGAGATACCTAAACATAATTCTTTTGAATTCCTTAATAGAGAGTTCCAATGCTGCTTCTTCCTCAGGGATGTGTTTTGGGTCTATATCCTGCTCCCTTGTTTCTACCACTTTATCTTGCTTCTTTTTGTGGACCGTGATGGTCTCTTGTTTCTGAGACATTGGTATTTGCTGTATTTATATCTCTGTTAACTGTTTGTGAAGAGCATCCAAGGGTGAGTCAGGCTTTTCTTGATGGTTGTTTACGTTGGCCCGTTGGTGGAGAAGGAGGTAGTGGCTCTCTCTCAGTAAGTGAAGCTGCAGGAGGTGTAGGTGTCCTATGGGGACCGTTGCTGTCTCCCACTCAGTTAGACAAAAATATCAATTGAATATCTATCAACAAAGTAAAAGCAAATGTACAAAAGACTCACTGTGTTATCACACTGGAACCAAAAAAAACAAAACAGGGAAAACGAAAAAATATAAGAGAAGGAGTTTAATGAAGAAAAAAAGTGGGAAAAACGCAAAGAGAGAAACCAGGAATGGGGTTAATCATGAGAAAGAAAAGAAAAAAAATTGCAACCGGGAACAGGGTAAAGAAAAAAAGCTGAAAACTAGAACCTAGTAGGGGAAAAATAAAGAATAATAGTAAAAACGACAAAAGTAGTAGTAATAATAGTAGTTTTAAAACAGAGAAGAACAAACAAACTAAAAGACAGAAAAAAAAAATTTGGACATGTTCAGGCAGGGCACCCAGGCTGCGACCGAACGTGCAGACTGGGATGGAATTCCTGCTGGCCTAGAAGGTGAGTGGGAGTGAGGAAAGGCCATATCTCTGTTCGCTAAGAGTGTGTGGGGTATAAGAGTAAAAAGGGTAATATTGCAGCTTTCCTGTCGTCCAGGTCCAGAATGTCCTTGGGGTTCCCGGCAAGCAGAGCCTGTTTTTAAGTCCCTGGAATCTGGGAGAACGCTGTTACTTTAAATATCTAAAATGGTCAAACCACTTGTAAACATTCAAAATTGCTATTCACCCAAGTAGGATATGGAATGATGTTTTTGTGTAGTATATTATGCCGATTAAACTTGATGTCCCCTGAGACTATGGTCCTGAACCCATAGGTCTAACTAACTCACTCCCTCTGAGGAGCTGGCTGTGGCCAAGAAGTTACTGCAAGCTTGATATCACTCATTTCTCTTTTTCCTTTGCCTAACTTTTCCCTCCAACTGTAAATGGTGAATATTTCTTCTGAGTCATTGTTTCTTCTTTGTTATTCTCTCACTGAATGATCTCATTTAATTCCATGGGTTTAAATAAGACTTATAGTGATGACACCCAAATTTATTTTTCCTTTCCAACTGTCTCCTTCTCCTTGTCCATGTGTAAGAGAATTTCATGGATTTAGCGTAATCAGATTGTTGTTGTTGTTGTTATTATGTGCCATCAAGTCGGCCCCGACTCATAGCGACCCCTCCTTGGGTTTCTGAGGCAGTATCACTATGGAAGTAGGATTGCCCAACCTTCCTTCCGAGGAGTGGCTGGTGGGTTTGAACCGCCAGCCGTCTGGTTAGCAGGCAAGTGTCTTAGCCACTGTGCTACCAGAGCTCCCGTAATGAGATTAGATTAGAACTCTTAATTCTCTACTACTAAACTCCTCAGTTCCTTTTACCATCCTTTTTATCAGTCTTTCCTGTAAAAAGGATCTCTCTTTGGCTATTGTTGTAGTCTTTCCATGTTTGTTCATACATTTCTTCATGTAGCACTTAGAGAAATCTTTTAAAAATAAAAATTAGATAATGCCACTCTTTCTGCTTAGTCATGGCTTTGCATTATCATAACTTTCAATTCCCTGCTTCACCTACTTCTGACTTCATGTGGTACTGTGCCCTCCAGTACTACTCTGTAAGTTGTCATTTGTCATTCTTCGGATATTTCTGGCACACTCATACCTTTGCACTTGTTCCCTCTGCCTCAAAGATAACATACTAAGTTTCCTATAAAGTTAAGTCCCCATTCTTTCTAACCCATCACCTAATTGTTGTCCTCAGTAGCAGTTATCACTTTTAGAAATCATCTGTTTTGTTTCCTTCTTTGATTTGCTTCACCAGAGTGTAAGCTCTAAGAGAACAAAAGCATTGTTCTCTTTTTCAGTGCTTTATTCCCAGTGTCTAATACAGAGTAAGTACTTAGTCAGTATTCATGGAAGGAATTAAAAGTGAATCTAAAGGAGACCTGGAAAAATGAGGTGGGTTTGAGTATATAAAGAGGACCAAGGATACAGATGATAACATACAAATGAAGTTTTTAGGGATTAATGATTGGGTCAGTTTACTTGCAGTATGGGGGACTGGTAGTAATGAGAAAGGTTGATTGGGGCCTAAAACTTTAACATTAGAGGGGAAGTCTGTGGGTGGCTCAGTTTGTTCTCGGCTACTAACCAAAAGGTTGGTGGTTCAAATTCATCCAGTGGTGCAGCAGAAGAAAGGCTTGGCAATTTACTTCTGTTAGGGTTATACCAAAGAAAACTCTGTAAAGCACAGTTCTCCTCTAAGCACATAGAGTTACTATGAGTTGGGATCAACTTGTCAGGAGTGGATTTGGTTTATTTTAGTACTAGAGAACTGTGAAATCAGACTGGCATATCTGAAATTTGTATTCTGTTCAACAGGGAACTTTAGAACCTCTTCACACAGCAGAGTATTGGACTGAATAGGTCATTTGTAATGGATTGATCTGGATAATGATTAGAAGGAAGGCTGGACACAGGTAGACTGTGTAGTAATCTACTACAGTGACTTGCACTATGAGGTGATCAGGGCCTAAAGTGGGTTAAATCATGGTTGAAAAGAAAAGTAAGGAGCATTGAAGAGCTATTTATAGAATTGAGTGATAGAAAAGTAACAAGGAGGTGATGGCAAAGTATTAGAGGAAACAAATATGTTACTTTGGCATAAATAGGATTTATAGGGAATTCATATTTTTGAGGAAGATCATGCAGTTTTAGAAAGAAATCAGATTACATCAGGATAGATATGTCCAATAGGCATTTAGAAAAGTTGAATTGGGGGCCTTAGCAGAGGTCTAGATTAGGTATGTAGATCTTGAGAGTTGACTGGTTATGATCATAAGATGGGTGAGGGATGGTAAGAGCTGATCATAAAGGAGTGAAACTTGAATATGCAAGTTAGGAGACAGGAGGCAGGAAAAGAACCCCCAAAGAAAATAGAAGGATATTAGAGAAGTAGGGATAGATTAGATTTGATTTGACTTTCTATATATTCTTAAATTTTTTCTTTTCTTTTTTTATAGTGCTTAACCTCTGTTGCCTTTAACTCTTGTGCTCCTCCTAGTATCTCCCTTTGCCTTGATCATTTTTGTGCTGACTTCCCCTTTATTATATATTGCCTTTCCCTTCACCCAAGTTAAATAAGTGTCTACCTTCTACGTAGTGAGTCAGTCTACCTGAATCTGATCAATTTTAGTTTTGGAGTATATTGACAGATTTTGATGTTTGCATCTGCAGAGCTTAAAACTACTACTAAATCCCGAATTGATGACTTCATCAAGGTAGTTCTGTTTTTTGAGATGCTGCTTAAGTGGCCAGCTGGCTCCTTCTATGACATCTTTATCTCACTAATCTCTTACTTCAGCATATGTAGTGACATATCCAGGCCCTATGAGACAGCCATACATTTATCTAGAGGACCAAATAAGAAAATGAAGAAAGGTATTTTTTTTGGCCGGGGATCCAATCCAAGATCACATGTTGTTATGTTAATCTCTTTCTAGTCTCCTGTAATATGGAACAGTTCCTTAGTCTTTTTGCCTTCAATAACTGTATTAGTTTCCTAGACCATTGTAACAAAGTACCATGAACTGTTTTAAAATAACAGAAATTCATTTGTCATAGTTCTGTAAGCCTGAAGTCCAAAATCAAGGTGTTGGCAGAACCATGCTTTCTCTCTGAAGGCCTTAGGGAAGATCCTTTTTTGTTTGCTAACTTTTGGTGGTTCCTGGCAGTCCTTGGCATTCTTTGCCTTGTAAATGTATCACTCCAGTCTCCTTGTGCATGCCCTCCCTCTTACCCTTTTTGTCTGTTGTCTTTTTATAAGGATACCAGTAATTGGATTAGGGCCTGCCACTACTCGCGTATGACCTCATGTTAACTAATAACATCTTCAGAGATCCTATTTCCAAACAAGGTCAAATTCACAGATTCCTGGGGTAGGACTTCAACATATTTTTTTAGGGGTCAAAATTCAACCTATATGAATGACCTTGACATTTTTGAAGATTACCAGCCATTTGTTTAGTGGAATGCCTATGAGTTTGGAGTTAATAATATTTTTTACCATCAATTTTTTTTTACTGGATTTCTTCTATGAGAAAATTTTACTTCAATGAAAATCTGTAAGATGGTATATTTTATAAGTGTAGCTATTCCCATTTCTCCCGGTTAAATCTGTACAAAGTTTGGTACTTATATCTGGCTTCCATTTATCTTTCCTCCTTACCTTTCAGAAACACCGAAGTCTTGTACTAAGTCTTCTAAAAATTCCACTCCAGTTCCTCCAAAGCAGCCAGCTAGGTGGCAAGTTGCAAAAGAGCTCTATCAGACTGAAAGTAATTATGTAAATATATTGGCAACAATTATTCAGGTAAGTATGAGTTTGGTTTCAAAATGATCTCTGTTCTAATGTTCCTAAGTAAAATATTGAAAAATTTTATTTTTTATAAGAAAATCATATAAAGCATGGGATTTGAACATAGATATTAAAAATGAAAATGAATGACCAAAATTGCTGTTAAGGGAATGCAGTAACTACTAGTATCTTTTATTCATCAACTTCTTTTAGGCAATAGGAGATTGTGTGATATAAATAGTGTCATTTTTTGGTTATAATAATTTTAAAAAGAGAAAGATCCTCAGTGCTGATTGTAGAAGGGGACTGAGTTTAATTCAGAACTTTGCAGACTCCGTTGTCAAGATACTGCATAACTTGTTATTGCTTACTTTATAGGCCTATCTGTTGTTTGGCTGAAAGGTGATATGGAAGTTATACATACTATTTTCTGAAAGTGTGTGTTCTAGAGTGTTTGCTTTATGTATTACTGTATGTATATGAAGAAGATTGTTTAAGCAATAGCAGCAAAGCATAATATGGATGTCAGTAACTTTTTCCAATATTTTTCATGTTGTCAGGTTTTCTTAAAGAATAAATGTTAATTCATTGCTTACTAATATTAATATTTATTATAAAGTTATTTCTGAAGAAAAACAGTAATTCTAATGAATTCCTTTAGCATGGAGATTAAAGAAGATATTAATGAATAAATGATAATACTATAATGGGGCATTGATTTTATAACTATAGGAAGAAGGAATAAACTTGTTTTAGTCAACACAGGCAATCGTGTGATATAATGTTTATACAACCAGACATATCTTTGAATAGAAAAATGATTGGGAATGTCTGATTAGGATTTAGATTTTAACTGACCTCTATTTAATTTTTTTTTTTTTTGTGATTTGGGTGAAAGTTTAAAGAGCAAATTCACTTTCCACACAGCAGTCATAACATTGACTACAATTTACCCCAATGCAGCAGTTCCCCTCCCACTTCCTCTCCATAGTTACCTCTTCCCTGTGTTCATCCCTCCATGCAACTCTGCCCCCTGAACTGTTTCCCTGTATATAAACAGCCCCTCTTTCTCCCATGATTGTTCTCTTCGAGGAGTATATCTACCTCAGGTCTGTGTTCAACTCATATGCCTGTCTTTTGTTTGGCTGGAAGCCACAGATGTGGTTTCAATTCCAGACCTGAAGGGCAGCTAGGGACCATAGTCTCAGTAGTTCTTCCAGGCTGATCAGACCAGCAAACCTGGTGCCCCCTTTTTTTTCCCCCAAATGATTTTGAATTTGTTCTACATTTTTCTACCTCTCTATCCAGGATCTCCTCCACAGATCCTCCTCTGAGTGCTTGACAATGGTAGCTGGGTACCATCTAGTTCTGGTTTAATAGTAGTATAGGCTGCGGATTACATGGTATACCAGTCGCGAGTCCATGAATGTTTGGTTTTCTTCATTCTTCTTTGCTCTGGACGAGGAGAGACCCATCATTGCATCTAGACGGGTGCTTGCAAGCTTTTAAGATTCCAGTCGCTACTCGCCAAAGTAGGAGGTGGAACAATGTTTTGTGTAGTATGTTATACTAGTTGAGCTTGATGTCCCCTGCTACTGTGATCCCAAGCCCACCAGTCCCTCTGGGTAGCTGGCTGTGACCAAGAAGTGAGTACAAACTTGTCCCTTGTCAGCTCTACTATACCCCTGGGAATTCTTACAGAACATACAAATACACTTGTTGAAACATTGTCTGCCAATTCTATACATGGACTTGGGTACACTCCCTGCTGCATGTTGTTTTTGTTGTTATGTGCCGTCGAGTCGGACCCAACTTATAGTGACCCCTCCTTGGGTTTCTGAGGCAGTATCACTACGGAAGTAGATTGCCCCATCTTCCTTCTGAGGAGTGGCTGGTGGATTTGAACCGCTAGTCTTCTGGTTAGCAGTCAAGTTCCTTAGGCACTGTGCTACTCAACCTGTCCACCCATCTATCCACCCATATACCTGTGTTTGCCTTCACTGCCAATACAGTACTGTATGTGCAAAAGGGTTCATCTTTTTTGTCTGCAACTCCTACGTACCTCTCTATGTCTTCCTCTTTCTCAATGCCACTATGTTGATCACTTACGTTTGGTAGATTGCCCTTCTCTTCACCCAAATCAATAGTTATCTCTACCTTTCTAACAATGTTCCCTTCCCTCCCACCCCACCTGTGGTAACAACAAAGGAAATTTCCTTCCATATATAAATTGTTCCTTGACTTTTACAATAACGGACTAATACAATACTTGTCCTTCTGTGATTGACTTATTTCACTCAGCATAATGTCTTCCAAGTTCATCCACATTATGCGGTGTTTTGTAGATTCTACGTTAGTCTTTAGCGTTGCATCATATTCCATTGTTTGTATGTACCATGGTTGGTTATCCATTCCTCAGTTGATGGACACCTATGTTGTATCCATCTTTTGGATATTGTAAATAGTGCTGTGATGAACATAGGTGTGCATATGTCTGTCCTGGTCATGGCTCTCATTTCTTTAGGATATATACCTTGTAATGGAATGGCTGGATCAAATGGTATTTCTATTCCCAACTTTTTAAGGAATCGACATACTGCTTTCCACAGTGGTTGTATCATTTTATAGTCCCACCAGCAGGGTAGAGAGTCCCAATCTCTCCACATCCTTGCCAGCATTTGTTATTTTCTGTCTTGTTGAACTTGGCTGCTAGTGCTGGGGCAAGATGATATCTCATTATTGTTTTGATTTGCATCTCTCTAATGGCTAATGATTGTGAGCATTTCTTCATATGTTTGTTGGCCACCTGAATATCCTCCTTGGTGAAGTGTCTATTCATGTCTTCTGCCCATTTTTTAATTGGATTATTTGTCTTCTTGTAACTGAGGTGTGGAGTTTTCTATAAATTCTAGAGATAATCCCTTGTCAGATATGTGATTTCTGAATATTCTTTCCCAATCTGTAGGTTCTCTTTTTACTCTTTTGGAGAAGTCTTTGGAAGCTCATAAAACTTTAATTTTTAGAAGGTCCCATTCATCTAGTTTCTCTTCTGTTGTTTGTGTATTTTGGGTTATGCTTGATAGTCTATTTATGCCATATATTAGGGTCCCTAAATTAGCCCCTAGTTTTTCCTTGAGGAACTCTATAGTTTTAGGTTTGACATTTGAATCTTTGACCCACATGGAGTTAGTTTTTGTATATGGTGTGAGGTTACAGATCTTGTTTCATTTTTCTGCAAATGGATCTCCAGTTTTGCCAGCACCATTCTCTTCCTCATTTAATGGATTTCAGCCCTTTGTCAAAGATCAGCTGACCATAGGTTGATGGATCTTTTTGTGGGTTCTCAATTCTATTGCATTGGTCTATGTGTCTGTCATTGCACCAAAACCAGGCAGTTTTGACTACTGTCGCTATATAGTAGGTTTTGAGATTTGGCAGTGTGAGACTTCCTACTTTGTTCTTCTTCTTCAATAATGATTTGCTTATCCCAGGGCTCTTTCCTTTCCATATAAAGTTAGTGATTGGTTTTTCCATATCCTTAAAAAATGTTGATGGAATCTGGATTGGGATTGCATTGAATGTATAGATTGCTTTGGGTAGAATCGACATTTTCACAATGTTCAATCTTCCTATCCTCAAGCATGGTATGTTCTTCCATTTATGTAGATCTCTTATGGTTTCTTGAAGTAGTTTTTTATAGTTTTCTTTGTATAGGTCTTTTGTATCCCTAGTTCTATTTAAATTTTTTTATTGTGATTTGGATGCAAATTTACAAAGCAGATTCGTTTTATTCTCAAACAGGTTATACACATTTGGTTTCTCAGCACCAATTACAATCCTGACAATAAACCGCTCTCTGCCATCTCCTTCCTGTGACTTCTCCTTCCCTGTGTCCTTCTTATCTATGCATTCCTGTCTGTCCAGCTTTACCTGAAAATGCTGCCCTTCTGATATCTCACAGTTGATTGAACTAAGGGGTATGTCTGCCTGGGGTAGGTTTTCTGCTTATAGGTCTTTCTATTGATCCCTTTCCAAGTGGTTGGCTTTGGTAGTCAGGCGCCATTTAGTGCTTCTGGTCTCAGGGTTGTTAAAGCTGAGGTTCTTGTGGTCCATTAGACCCATGGACTAATTTTTTCCTATTTTTATTTTCTTTACTACAGATGAGGAGAGACCAGTAGTTACATCTTAGATGGTCATTCAAAAGCTTTTAATACTCGAGTTGCTACTCACCAAAGCAGGATATAGAGCAAGATTTTTATATACTGTATTGTGCAGTTGAGCTTGATGTACCCCAAGACTATGGTCCTGTGCCCGCAGGCCTGGTGACTCCTTCAAGGTGTCTGGTTGTCACTGAGAAGCTACTCCAGCTTTGTCCCTTGTTCTATAATGTATATGTATGTTTTTGTAGCACAAATACGTATGTAAGAATATCTTCAGCCAAATCTATCTATGTTGTTGTTGTTGTTATGTGCCGTCAAGTCGGACCTGACTCACAGCAACGCCTCCTTGGGTTTCCGAGGCAGTATCACTACAGAAGTAGATTGCCCCATCTTCCTTCTGAGGAGTGGCTGGTGGGTTTGAACCGCCAGCCTTCTTCCCATTTGCTTACCCACAACTAATCATCTCACCTGTCTATACTTAGACCTTCTATTTGAATTCTTAATATAACTCATTAGAGTTTAACCTAACGTTAATGGCCTTTGGTTGCTATACCAGTAATAAGATGCATGGATAAGAAATGGGAAGGCTTCTTTCTTGGTGGTCCTGCAGAGATTATTTTCTCTATTTGAACATTTTATTGTCTTTTGGGTAGAAGTTACAGAGCACTTAGTTTCCTATTCAACTGTTTATTGACATTTTGTTTTATTACATTTTTTGCACTCCCCTCAATGTACCAGCACTCATCCCATATTCTCTGAGTTCCCTGTTTCTATTCACCCTTTTTGCCTGCTCCTTCCTGCCTTTTGAACTTTGTTTTTGGGCAGATACTGTCCTTTTGATTTCCTGTGGTTCTT